TCTACGTATCGCTATCTACGTATCGCTATCTACGTATGGCTATCTACGTATGGCTATATACGTATCGCTATCTACGTATCGCTATCTACGTATGGCTATCTACGTATCGCTATCTACATATGGCTATCTACGTATCGCTATCTACGTATGGCTTCTACGTATGGCTATGATATCTACGTATGGTTATCTACGTATCGCTATCTAGGACTAGCCTCTAGACACTAGTAAACCCAAACCTCTGAGTGGTCGCGCTCCAGGTAACTAGGCAGGTTAGCTAACATAGGTGAACCATGGTGTTAACCACGTGTGCACGCGTAAACGCACGCACACACGCACGCTCACACGCACGCACACATGCACACACGCACACGCAAGTACTCACACGCACACACACGCGCACGCAACTACTCACACGCACGCACACACACACGCACACACGCACGCACACATGCACGCACGCACACGCAACTACACACACGCACGCACACGCAAGTACTCACACGCACGCACACATGCACGCACACCCACGCTACTACTCACACGCACACACACACACGCACACGCAACTACTCACATGCACACGCAAGTACTCACACGCAAGTACTCACACGCACACGCAACTACTCACATGCACGCACACATGTACGCACACAAGCGCTTGCATGCACGCACGCACGCATGAACGCACACACACGCACACATGCACGCACACATACATGCGTACACACACACTCACGCACTCACACACACACGCACGCACGCACGCTACTACTCACACGCACGCACACATCTACACACGCACACGCAAGTACTCACACGCACGCACACATGTACGCACGCACACGCAAGTACTCACACGCACGCACACGCAACTACTCACACGCACGCACACATGCATGCACGCACACATGCATGCACGCACACGCAAGTACTCACACGCACGCACACATGCACGCACACATACGTGCGTACACACACACGCACGCACGCACGCTACTACTCACACGCACGCACACATGTACGCACGCACACGCAAGTACTCACACGCACGCACACATGCACGCACACATACGTGCGTACACACACACGCACGCACGCACGCTACTACTCACACGCACGCACACATGTACGCACGCACACGCAAGTACTCACACGCACACACACATGTACGCACGCACACGCAAGTACTCACACGCACACACACATGTACGCACGCACACGC